CAAACATTAATAGTTTGATTTTATTCTTTGAAGTCAAAGTTCCTAATAATGGAACCCAATATCCCTCCCTCCCTCTCTCTCTCTCTCTCTCTCTCTCGTAACTCTATGCCAATATCAAGTAGAACCAGTTGTTAACGTTTTAACAAACGAACGTCTGTTGAAACAGGATATTGTTATTTTTGGGTTGTTTGTTTCATTCCCTAAATTCTCTCTATCTTTTCCTTATAATTTTTTTAAATAATATTAATTCATTAACACAAGTTTTATGTAAACTATAAAAAAAAGAATATTTTTTTATCAAATCTTATACTAATTTTTTTTCTTATTTTCATCGTAACGTGAAAATTTACATTAAAATTTCAATAATTATTATATAAAAGACATACAAACGTATCTCTTTTTTAATGAATTTCGAATCGAATTTTTCTTCTAGTCAATCCATAAATAATTAAAGATTTTCGTTTTCACTTACACGAATCAATAATTCTAAATATATTTTTTGAAAAAAAAAAACTTTATGCACATTCCATAACCGTATCAAGTGTTTCTTAAAATAATAATGATACCATTGTTAATTTTTAATGGCCTATAAATTATTAACAACAATTAATTTAATTTCACACGTATTGTTCGAATAAATGCATTATCCATCATCGTTATAATAGATTAATAATTTATATGTATATATAAAACGTTAATAATTATTTTTGATCTCATATTCCCCTTGTTTCTTCAAATCCTCGTCGATTTGACGTATGTGTAAATACGTAAGTAGCTTACTACTCGTGTACTCCAGGCAAAGCTGCTTTGTATGAATTAAAATAAATATAAATTAAATTACTACCCTGTATAAATAATAATAATTATCACAATTTTCCATAAATATAATTTCCATAAATAACCGCAATTTTTTACAACATTTGATAACAGGATGTTAATATTTATTTAATTGGAACATCTTTGAGGAAAGATCCAAAAAAAACAATCATCGAATATAATTCGATATTCTCTCGAAAGATATATAAATTCCACGAATATATTAATAATGTGATACAAGTATATATATATACATATACATATATTTCTACATTTTTCAACAATTGTTTACAATTGTAACGAAAATTTCATTTTATCTACAATTTTCACAATAACATTTACAAAGATTTTTTTCATGTACAGTTATCTACAACAAGATTTTTTTTACATCACATTTCATCGTTCAACTATCATCCACCACGGTACGAAGAGCTGCGAAGATGGACAGAGCATTGGACACGTACTGAAACGTTGTTATTTAAATATACTTACATTTGGTTCGAGATTAATGGAAGATTATTGATTAACTTACTGAACAGTAATATCGTATAGTGAGCTCTGGCAATAGAACGTTAATCGAGACGGGTATCGGTTTTTGAAATGCCAATACGGTCAACAGAGCTTTTTGCAAGTCCAACCTCTGCTCGTACCATATCGAGTCGTACACGCTTCTCGAAATGTTCATGCTCTGGAAATTTTACGAGAATGATCTGATTCTTAATGGAAAGTCTTACAGGTATTAGCTCAAAGTATCTTAAAGTATCTTATATTATATTCAGTGTTAATTGAAAAAAAAAAAAAAATTATCTTCGAATTGAAATAATCAAGTTAAAAAAATTCTCGATTTCTCTTTTCGAGAATTAATAAAAGAGAGAGTGAACGAGAAATGATCTTAAATGGTTAAACAATCGGGATAATGATAACTTTTGAAGAAAAAAGAAATTGCACTGATTCAAGGATAAGATTATGTCATCAGAAGAATTAGGTTTACAACTTACCATATGGTACATGTAATCAGCGGGCAACGCGTACAAATAAATTTCCAGAAGGATGCACACGCATATGATTATAAACTGCGCTTTCACGATTAACGGCGAATTCTGTTTACGGAATTGGCGGCGGTTAATCCACATCGTATTTCGCGTGAAATCGTCGTCGTGAATCTCTCACTTACTATGATCAGCACTATGCCGCACAGGGTCAAGACAAACGTGCCTAACAGTATTGCGTGAAACACTAGGAAACGAATACAGCTCACCACTTCTTCCGCGTATCTGGGCATAGAGAAAACTTACGACAATAAATACTGTCACGGTTAATCGGCTCTTAACTGGGGAAAACTGTATTAAAAGTTAATCCTTCGTGCTCGAGAGGAGATTCGTTTTCAAATTTATTAAAATTTTTAATCCTCTTTTCAAACGTTTACTGATTGAGTGAATAAAACACGCGTAATAAGTGATATTTCAATAGAGTTGAGAAATATTCTGTTAAATTTGTTAAAAATTATTTAAATTTCGATTTTATTATATAATACCTCGAAACGTCTATTTTAATTTAAAAAGTTATAAATTCATAAATCGATAAATTTTTTTTTTGTAAATTAAGCTTAAATGCAATGATTTGTCAATGATTTTTTACATGTTCCATATCATTCCCCGCAATAAGAGTTGGATATATAAAAAGTGTACTAAAATTAATTTTAGTATTTTATTAGTATTTTATTATTAGTATTATTGTACTAAAATTAATTTTAATAATTTTAGTAGTTATTTAATTAATTCCATGTACTTAAATTAATCCCACGATATGGGAGACTCATCACTTAACGGATTCTTATTATCGATATAGCCACTGATATTTATTAATTCTAATCTATCTTATATTATAATATTCCTCTTAAAAATGCTATGCTTCTGACAATGTCTTCAACGTTAATTCAGACTCGACAATCTTGGCAAAAGTGTCACAGTTTCGTAAAATTTATAAATCCTAAAAAAAAAAAAAAATGAATTTCGAAAATAAAATTAGCTCAAATTGACGAAGATGAATTTCATTTTAACATGGTAGTATTAAATACAAGAAATCGAAAAATTAGAACGAGCGAATAGAGTGATACCCAGCAAGAAAATGTTAATTATATTTATTATATCATTATTATATTATACGTTATCAAAATCATTTACCGACTGAAAACGTCTTCGAGCGCGAAGGGTGAAAAAAATCAAAAGTCTCTCCCTCCTTACAACGATTTGCTCGGATTATAAAAGAAAGAAAAGAAAATTTACAAGTCCTAAAAAAAAAAAAAATGAATTTCGAAAATAAAATTAGCTCAAGAACTGACGAAGATAAATTTAATTTTAACATGATAGTATTAAATACAAGAAATCGAAAAATTAGAAAAAGCGAATAGAGCGATGCTCAGCAAGAAGATGACCCTCGCGAACAAATGTGACGATTTTACGTTATCAAAAACATTTACCGATTGAAAAAGTCAAAACTTCGAAGGGTGGAAAAGTTTAAAACTCTCCCCCTCCTTACAACGATTCGATCGATTATAAGAGATTATAAAAGAAGGAAAAGAAAATTTTTACCTCTTCAAGCGCGAGTGTTTCTTAAGGCATACGACCAGCACATCGATACTCGTCACCCCCTGCAACTCCCCGATCAAGCACTCGAATCTTGCGGCCGTGAACCAGAGCAGCAAGGCGCCGAACACGCACAAGCACATATGGGCCGTGCTTTGAAAGATGACGAGGACATGACTCGCGTAAATGATAAAACTTCTCGTTGTTGTGTTAACGTTGAACGGGTATTCCGTTTCAAAGGGGAAAGGATTTGGGAGGAATAGGGGGGCGAATATGAAGCTTGTCCCGCAGACGTATATCGATACGATGGAAGTCCCGTACAAAGTGTTACATTTCGACCCGTACACGCGCAAAATTTCGTACGTCCTCCCTTCTTTTATGCATCCCATCATCTCGTCCACCACTCGCTGCAATTAACCAACTGTGATTAAACGGCGATTAATTCCTCCTCGTCTCGCAAAACGGTGGAGAACAGGCCTCGAAAACGATTTTTATTAATCGATTGCTTCCAAATTTTCATATATATGTATATATATATATTATCTTATTTATCACTATATCTATTTAAATTTTATGACGAAAATATCGAAGATACATCGAATATTGAAAATTCACCTTGACGAATAATGATTAATCACGCTGAACTGTTTCGAGCTAATTCTTCGGCTTCGAGATCTCTCTCTCTCTCTCTCTCTCTCTCTCTCTCTCTCTCTCTCTCTCTCTCTCTCTCTCTCTCTCTCTCTGTCTGGAACTTACTTGCAACGTATCGTATTTCACGAAGCATACGATGGTCTGGCCGACGTACTGAAGGAGGCACAGGGCCACGCAGATACATTTGAAAAGAGAGATGACATCGTCTAAATGCAAATGGATCCAGTAAAGCATGGCCAGGATGACGGCGCAACCGTTAATAATCGAGATGATTAGTAAAACTTTCATCCCCACGATCCTTTTTCTCTCTGTGTCGGCGGGTAGGGGCCAGCAAAGGGTCATGGCCACGCTCAGCCAAACGAGATAAACGCTTTTCTCTGGCCTCACTTCCTTCATTCTTCGTACTCGTCGAGGAATAATAAAATTCAACTTTATTCGAACCACGTATACACACGTAACGTTTAATAAATCATAAATCGGTAATCGACTCATCGGGAACAAACGCTTTGATTCCTTGGGTAATTCTTGGTATTCGTAACCCGATGCCAATAATTATCCGTTATGCATTATGCACACGGCGTGCGCTATTAGACAGCTGCAAAGAGAAATTATCGTACCGTTGGGAATAATATTTTTATTTTATTACGCGGCGTGTAGCAAAAAATGTTGTTGTTATTTACACAGAGAAAAATTTAATATTATTGGCGCGTGCTTCTTCTTTCTTGCGCTACGAAATTCAGCCAAAAACTTTCAACAAAACTTACTTCCATACGTACATAACCTTATACTTTAAGAATCGACAAGAAAATTTTTAATTTCGAAATTTAATTTCCCGTGTTACTTCCATCGAAATAAGTAAGGAATGTACTTTCGTGAAATATTTACTGCACTTAACGCTCCCTCTCGTTCTCTACTGAAAGCAAGAACTGTATTTCTATGTTGTTCCAGGAGCGAACAATGTAAACGAGCCACCTATCCTCGAACCGAACGGATACCCCGCGGGCCTCACGCTCTCCGAATCAACGAAAGTCGGAACGGAGGTGTTCGTCCTCAAGGGCCACGATCCTGAGGGATCGCCTGTGAAATATGGGATACAACTCACGGACCATTTCGTCGTAAATCCACGAACAGGCGTTATCACGTTGGCGAAACCTCTCGACCGCGAGGTGAGTCCGAATTTCTTTTCTTTCTTCTCCTTTTTCTTCTTTTTTCTCTTTTTCATATTTTCATCTGTCGTCATCTGTCGCCTCGATGGGAACGAAAATATGGAATATGGAGGAAAGACAGAGAATTACGAATGTGTAAAATTGTTGCGTATTTTTTTTTTTTTTTTTTTTATATTTTCGATTCGAATTAAGTTTTTCTTGTATTATTTAAAATTGGATCGGGGTTAATTAGGTTTCAAAATTTAAATAATTGATATGATGTTGGTGAAGTAGATAAATATAATAAAATAGAATGGAGAAGGGCAACCGTGTTTGATGTTGTTAATTGGATATTCTAAATTCTTATCTGAAAATGTTGCAAATGTTCTTTAATCACGAGATTTATAAAAAGATGAATAAATATTTGTTCTTCTATTTTTGAATGAACACTCTAGTTTCCCTCACAAAAATTCTCAATTATTTATCGCGACCTACATTTATAAAACTTGGTCCATAACTGAGAGTATACCTATCTATGTATAGCTAAAGTTTCGCGAGACTGCAACGAGAATCCAAACTTTAATTTAACATCATTGCATGCACAATAGCGTCGACGATAACAACGAGGAACTGATCAAATGTTAAAAGTGTCGTGTTACTAGTCTAATAATATTTAAATTATTCGTCCAATTCCAATTCTAATGGATCTATTTGATATCTGTTATCACATATTTTTCTCTAAACAGAGAGAAAAAAGAAAAAAAGAAAGAGAGAAAATCCTCCAAAGATCTCAGAAAAATAAATATAAACTAATTTCATTGATTCAATGTTGTTAATTAATAATTTTTTACACGTATATTAAACTTTTGATAATTCTAAAATACTTGAATTTAATATTAAAATATAATTCATTGCAATGTATATTTCTGTAATGACTATTATTTAATGACTTAATATTAATATATTAATATATTATTTTCTATCATTTCGTTTTATTCCATATGCACATTACTCGTACAGTAAACACATGTGGCTTCGATTGTTTTGGACGTTATATATCATTTTATGGATTATCGTTGGTCCCAAACGTATGATATTAATAAACAATCCAATAAATGGAAAACTATAAAATTGAGATACATCGTATTCACTTAACAAAAGGATATTACTTGCTTTATACATCAATATGCATATATAAATAAAGCCTATATAAAAAAAGATGAATAAATTTAAACGTATTAAATTTACTTTGATCTCACCTTCAAACGTATTTATAAATACGATAGTATTTTCAATAATACTATTCGCGTGTAGTAATTCACTTCTAACAAAGATAGATCGACCTATTCCAATTATTATCGAAAAGCTATTTCAAAAAGTCCAAACCGATAATCGATACTACGGTAGCGTTTAGATAAATGACGCCAATGAAAACGTGAATACAGGGATGTTGGTAATTTACTACGTAATCCTAGATATTCATATCCGAAAATCGTAATAAATAACGATCGATTCATTCGAACGAGATTAGAAACTTTATCATTGGATAAAAATGGACGGAATCGGAATGTTACGCTTAAGTGGATTATCTACACGAGTGTTTATTCATTTCTTTCAAATAAAATTGAATAGATTTGTATTTCTATTTGTAGTTCCATTTTTTGAGAGTGGTTATCGATCCGTAAAATTAAAATCTTTAAAGTAAAATCTTTAAAGTTAGGTTAAGTTAGATAAGATTGAAGTCGGTAAAGTAGAAACTAGTTAGGTTGGGTTAAGTTAGGTAAGATAGAAAGATCTATGAAAATTAGTGAAGTTAAAAATTTGTAAATTTTGTAGAAATTAATAAATAATTATAAAGTTATAATTATATTAATAATTTATAATTAATAATATAATAATATAATTAATAATATAAATAATTTATAATTAATAATAAATAATTAGTTTGTTGTAAATAACCGATTGATTGAAAAAGTTATCAGAAATTGATTTTAAAAAAAAGAGAAGAAATGAATATATTATAAATTAAAATTAGATTCTTATTTATGGAACGACTTAATACATTTTATCTTGAAATATAATTATTTAATATATTCTTCTAATATGTTCTTTCGAAAGCTTCATCAATAATAATTTTCATGCATTGAATTAGACTTGTTCAAATTGTAATTTGTTGATGAAACACCATTCAGTTCTACTTAGCTAATTTTATGATTTAAATAGACATTCAAATGTTATTTAAAGATATATTTTCAATAACATTTGAATGCATATTTGTCATTTCGTATATAATAATCAAACATTTAATTGCATTTTATATTTGGAAGACTGAATTATTCGATTTATAAAAAAGAAATGGCGATATTATTTAAATAAATAAGAATACTTATTCGTCGAGAGCCATTCCTTTTTATATACTATCTCGACTCGTAAAAATGGAAAACTGACCTGTATTATCCAATTCAGTTGTACATTATGTACATTTTCGAGGATGTACTTTAAATAACTCCACTCTGGTCCACTTTCTTCTCCTCAAGAAAAAAGAAATACGAACCTAGAACTGACGATAAATATGATCCCTTTTGTCTTCTTTCTTGCTCCAGATCCTCTTCTGAAGAAAAGTCGAGCTTTGTTAAATGAGATTCATATATAGAAAAACACGAGATCTTGTTATTTTTCATCTTGAAATTATTTTTCATCCCTTTTTTAAGTATGTTAGCAAATAAAAATTTATCACAAGATTGATTTAATGAAATTAAAGAAAAGAAAAGAAAAAAATTGTTGTAGAATTTATATTAATCCTGTACGCATATTGTTTTAATGTACGCCACAACCGTTTCGTCGATTTTCCCATAATTTATCATTAATTTCGAAATATCGATTCCGATCAATGGTATTTGTATCATAATAATAACTCATGGCCAAATGCCTTCCGGATTCGAGCACAATTTATTGACATTAAAGTATCACAAGATTCGCATAATAATTTTGCCTCTCGTTAAATATCTATTCTGCGCATGCGCATGCAATTTATTAACGTTAAGATACAACCTGCTTCGCGTAATTATTATTGAGCGTACTGTCCGCAACTTGAAACTGAATTCTAATTCAGATCAAGAAATATAATACAATTCCATAATTGTTTTTTCTTTATTTCTTCCCTCGTGCCAATTGATATAATTATATATATATATATATACATTAAAAATTTCCAATTAAATTAAACAATTATCTCCGTAAAGTACATATGAATTCTACACGACAGTGGTTCTCAACTTGTGAATCGAAGACTATTTTCTAGATGTATCACAATCTCAGAATAGTTACGATTAAATAATTTATAACATTATGAATAAAAGAATAGAAAATTTCATATGAAATATTACTATATAAATAAAAATTGCCTGGAAAAAATTATTTATTTATTTTTTGGAAATATCAATTAACAATTCTTCGTTCTTGCGTTTGCTTTTCCATCCAACTGAATATCCTGTATAATTTTTCGAACACTGCTCGTAAAATGTTAAAATGTTTGCGTAAGATTAATGGCGCAACATAGTGTACATCCTCCTTACCTTTGTCGTCTTCGTCCTTTCATTGTCGATCCTATTACTTTTCTCAATCATCCCCTTCCATATGAAATTTTTTACATATAAAATAATAATTGGCGCGCAAAATCGAAGCTTCTCCCTTCTCTTCTCAAGAAAGGAAAAAATCAACTTCACTCAACTCATTCACACACGTAAGAAACGAGAGCAAATCTTTTTCCATCGCAAGCAAACAAGCAATGGAGAGGGAGGGAGGGGCGAGAGGAGCGAGATCGTTTCATCATTAGCCTCGTCGTGGTCGGGGCACGAGGATGGAAAATTCTTGGGCGCTATTAAATGGTGACCCGGCCACGTAATTAAGTTCGGACAGGTCGGTGTGACGGGCGATATTACTTTGAAGCGTGAAACGATGCGGGGAGGTCAAAGGGAGACCGTTGGATAAGCGGTCTAATGCCGCCAGCTATTACGCGCATTCGTGAATTGGCAGTGGCAAGCGCCAATACGAAACGCGCCGCCCTTGTTTGCCCGGATTAAATCGATGCCTATTGGCCCGCCCTGGTTATTTGGCCGAGGCCTTCGTTTTCCAAAACTCCCTATGGAATTAATGGAATTAATTTGCTTCCTCGAATCTTCTACACTCGGAAAAAGATATTTATTGTACTAATATATTGTATCTATTATATCTGTTGTACTAATATTGGACGATGATCCAATTTTTGGATCGATAAAAGAGAGAATGGATCGATATGTATATATATATATATATATAAGTTGGTATACAAAAATAATTTATAAATAATTAATACTTTTGCATAATGTTTTTCTTTTTGGATTTTAGGAGCCATTAAAGGATAGCTTATCGTCAATCTTAAGAAATTGAGTACTCTCTTTAATTTAAGATTCAAAATATAATTAATATAATTTCACGAGGGGCGCGTGCAGGGAGCAACTTATCATCGATCTCAAAAAATTTACACTCTTCGTTAATTCATGTGTCATTGACATATAATATATCGTATATAAGACACGAATATTGAAATAATATTATACAAATTAGAAAAGATAGAAAGCCGTAGAAAAGATGGCTCCACTTATATATATAATCCATTTGTACTGTCATTAAAATTAAAATTTGAATTTAAGACGATATTTCAACACTTTTCGATAAAACGTGAAATCTTAGATTCCAATATTGAGATGAGGAAACGCAACAAAGGTAAATCCTCGTCGTGAAATTCGAGGCAGTGTACGATTTCCACGCGCGTTCATTCATAATTCCAAGCGCGGCGATGGATATATATACTTTTTCCGGTAATAAAGCCTCACGAGAGTTTAACCAAGCTTTATTGCCGTTTGAACAGCAATATCGGCTCTCTTTCTCTCTCTCTCTCTCTCTCTCTCGTCTATAAGGATTTAGTTGAAACGGTATCAACCCGTTAGTTTTATGCGTAACGCCGCGATTGTTTGCTCGTA